CGCACACAATAGATACGCGCTTACTTGAGGGGACGAGCGATAAGTAAAGATTTACGTAAAATATTTAAAAATAATGTTTCTAAAATGACTGGCATCCAGAAAATGTTCTAGGGTGAGCAGCTCAAGGCTATTTTCAGACAACATAATCCACGTTCCGTTAGATGGTCACCAATGATGGTTAAAATAGCGCTGCATATTCAGATGCAATCTCCATCTACATACGATTATTTACACGAAAGTGGAATACTCAGACTGCCTTTACAAAGACGTTTATTTGATTTTACTCATTTCACTAAAGCAAAAGATGGCGTTCAAGATAAAGTTTTGGATTTGTTGGTGAAAAAATTACAAGAGACTAATATAGAAGACCATGAAAAATATTGTACTCTTTTATTTGATGAGATTACAATACATCAGGGATTGGTAGTAACAAGAACTGGTGAAATTGTTGGGTTTTCTAGCAAGAGTGATGTTGAGACGAGTGTTGAACAACTAGAAGCTCACCTCCAAGGCGAAGAAATGGAAGTGGAAAAGGAAAAGGCAAAGAAAGTTCTTGTTTTTATGATGCAAGGTATCACCCATGACATGCATGAAGTTGTAGCGATTTATCCCACAACTGATTTGAATGCAAAACCACCTGTTGTTTATCGACCAAGCAGCCAACTGAGCCAAAGTGTTACTGCTCGTGCACAACGGAACGTCGATTCTGAGCCGAACGCTGTATTTCTCATACCGGCCGTGTGCGTCTCTCGGGTGGTGCTCTCTGCTGGCTGGCCGCTGGAACACAAGTTTAGATTCGGTGATATTGTTGCTGCTGGTCGTAATTTGATACAAAGACGAGTGGATATTAGCACGCATTGTATCTTTCTCTATCAGGAACAGTGGTCTTTTCGTCTAATTGGTGAGTAACTTTGATGTTTGAACGAAACCTTTGTCGAGGTGTCTCTCGACGACACCGCTGCACCGGCGAGAAAGGAACACATTTTAACCTATTTGGCAATATTTTCGTTGGAAACAGTGCACAGGGCTGGAAAGCCTATGAAATTTCCCTTGGGATAGGGTAGGGGTTGTGTCAGATCGTGCACGTCAGTATGGTTAAAATTTGAAAAGAATCGCGGAAAGCAATATGGCGTCCGTCCTCACATTTTCACTTTGTTATAATGCTAATAGTATATTGATCGGAGAGGCAAGGCACGTAGCCTATTCGGTTGCTAAATTTGGGATCTTTCTTTCATAGCGAGAATGTTGTAGGGTTAAAGCCCTCTAAATGGACGAAAATTTGACTCGTTTGTGTTTCGTTGGCGGCTCCGGCCTACCTCAGATTTCGATAAAAACACATTTTATCGGTTGTGTGTCGACGAAATCAAAATTGAAGGGCACTACGATAAAGCTTGAACTCTCCTCTTTCCAGCGGTACACACGTTTGTACCGATCCGAAGTCACGAAATACGTTAAAAGGTGCATCAAAGAAGTGCAGGCAGTTGGCCGTGCCCGAGCCGCCGGGCGGCCGCCGGGGACGCGCATGGTAAACGGCTGGGCTGCCTCGTTTCTAACCCCGCGCCTGTAGATTATCGGTTATTTGCGCCCGTTAATGCACTGCTTTGATCGACTTTAGCCGTGAAAACCTTCTATAAGGTTTACTAAACGCGATCAGATGTCAGCCGCCTTGATGAGACGCGTGTGGCACCACTGCACTCTAAAAAATAATACAGAATTCTGTATCAAATTTGATACAGAATCCTGTATCAGCCTCTTGTGATATGGAAACATGTAACATGGGTACAAAATTCTGTAATCTGATCAAAATGTTACAAAATTCCGTAAATGTTACTAATTTCTGTAACAGATACATGATCAAGTAACGTTGGATACAATTTTCTGTAACCTTGGATACAGAATTATGGAACTTCGTTGGCACGGTCTCCGGGAGCCCCAGTGGCATTACACCGGGTTCCAGCAAACCTCTCCTCAGGTAGCCTGGGTGGTCGCGCGGGTAAAGGCGCGACTTCCTAATCCAAGGGTCTGGGGTTCAACTCCCGGTGCGGCAAGGTACATTACTTGAAATGAAATCGAAGGACTTAAGTACCATAGAAAAAAGAAGAGGGGGAAAGGAGGAAAGGGTAACAAAACGAAGAATTACAATTTTAAAATCCCAAAGATGTTCTGTATCAGGTGATACAGATTTGTATCAAAAATGATACAAATTTCTGTAACATGTGATATGTAAATTACTGCGTAACAATGTTACAGAATTTTGTACTGATTTTTTTTAGAGTGTGGGTTCGCAAGTTACAACGATTGTGGTATACATACAACATGTGAGGTAGTACACGCAAAAAAAAAGAATCGTTGTACCAACGACGGGAGTTGCAGCTCCAACAACATTTTGTTCTTGGAATGGCTTCAAGAACACATGTTGGTGTAGCCTGTCGTTGAACCAAGCCGTTGGGGAATGTCGTTGGATTAGAAACGAAGGTCGTTCCCTCGGCCACTTCATGTCTTTATTTGAAGTACACATGTGTCCTTGATCAAAATACAGACGTAATTGATTGAAGTTGGAAAGGGAGGAACGTTGTATTAAGGTGGAGTTGGTCTACGAAACAGTGTAATTGGGCACTGTACTTCTCCGAACTATAGTTGCTGCAGTGTCTTTGTCAGCAAAAGTAACTGGTTCAGTGAAACAAACATCTCTACGTAATGATGGTGATCCACTAACTACTGTCTTTTTAGCTGCAACATTATTATTCGAGTTACTGTAGATAGTATTTTTGTCATTTTAATGTAAGTTGGGGAAATAATTATGATAAAATAAATTTCAATAGTAACAATAGTGTATTTGTTATCGTTATATATTACAAGGCATGATGCAATGTTACAAAACACGTTCGTTTGGACGACATACAATAGTATACAAGGAATGGATCAACTGACGAATAAACAATGGCCTTTTCATTGCACAGAGCCGGCCTTACTTCATAAGCATGATAATGGACTGAAAATTCAACAGTTTCTCGGCATTCATAGAAAAGGCATACTTCTTGATTTGCATTAACGAATACTGAATTAATCAGTCCAAATATAGGCAAGTCCTGTTAATTCTCAATTAAAACACAATGCCATTGAAGAAAACATAAAAATTTATGACAGATTCATTAAAATTTGGAGGAAAAAAGAGTGGTAACACATACAGCTTGAGAACACCTAATTCAATTTCATTTTCAAGTCCTTTTTTAAGAAAAAGCCTCTCTGCAAAATGAAGCTGGTCCTTGAGGGCAATTGAATATGCAATGTTTCTTCGATTTTTACTATTTTTAGCATACTCTTTGGCCGGTTGGTGCTTTGCTTCATAGCGATCCGCAGAAAAGTTTGGAAATGGCCCTAATTCCAAAAGAATTTGATCATAATATACCAAATGGCGATATTTTGGTTTTAGATTATCATTGAACAATTTCACATATTCTAAATTAAAAACTTCAACAAGATGTTTCAATAAAACTGAGCAACCTTTCTAGGCGATCTAGCACACAAGAGCTAACCCCCGTACTAGTAGGCCCGTATCTTTGTGTACATTTCCGAACTACCCGGCTCGGTTGTCAGCGCCGCAGGCCAAGATAGATGTATGCCAGGCGCGTCGCAGCGGAACAGTGTTTCGTTGGATATCGCGAAGCCTGTTACGCGAGACGTGGACTGGTCTACAACTACCTTGTAGGTAATCGTAGGCCTACGCTCAAAGTATATTTTTAACTTTTACCGATAATAGTCCCTCGTCGCCTCATTAATATATGTGTGAGATATGTTTTTTTGATTTCCGGTTCGATGGAGCTCTACGTTTCCTAGCCTAGGTGCGCGCTTCCGAGAGACAACCACTGGTCTTTACTCATTTCCGTCCAGCTGTCAAAATGTGTCTCTTGGCGGGGTTCAGCAGCAGGCGGGTTGCTACCTGGTTACGAGTCACTCACTAATAAGAAGCAAAGGCCAGGAACTTATGAATTCGAACAGGGGACGGGAATGTGATTATACAGACAGTTTTACTCACGAAAAAATACTGACGAGACTGAGAAACCCCATACCCCAACAGGTAAATTATAGAGAAACTGTAATGAAACTGTAGTTAGATTAGTAGGCCAGCGCACTGGAATCCGTGGAACCCTTACCGCAGCACCACATTTATTGTGTCGCAGTGGCTCAGTGTTTGCGTACCGCGCTCCCACCTTCGAGGTCCAGGGTTCAACTCCCGCCAGAATCCAAGGTAAAACCAGTGTAACAATAATGAGAAAATATCTGTAAGGTGAATCAGCGAAGAGGAAGGAGGAAGACGAGCCAGAATGGGTCAAAAAATGTTTTAAACTGACTTCTGAACACTACTCTTTTACAAGCATTTGAAACTTAAGTTTATAAATACTCCGAAACACAAACAACGTGTAGGTCGAACAACACTTCTCTATAGAGAGAGTGCGCGAAACTAATCCCAAAACTGCAGTTTAACAGAACACTGTCCCAAATCTTTATATGTTATTTTTAGATAGACTGCAGTACAACTGTGGATGACCGTAATTTCTTTGCAGTTTAATTGTAAGCGTCTACAGTCAAAGTGCACAATGCAATATATAGTTACTCTCTGCTTTGTTTGTAAAGAAAAATTGCATGTTCGGTTGCACTGCATCAACACTTTGTCAGCAAGCACGATGTGCTCGTACTCTTGTTTTAAAAAGGGACCAGCTACATTTTTCTAATGTAATTCGAAGTGCAGATCTTTCCACCCGGTCCGCCACAACCCCAAAACTTTGAGGCCATTGCGCATTTATCAATTTTGTAAAATCAGGTGATCGCCGGGAAACAAAAACTTTTATTTTCGATAAAGAATCTAAAAAGCTTGGGCACAGAAAAACATTCGGACTTCGAAAAAAAAAGTAGGACGCCCTAACGAGCCGTGCACTTGCACGCGAGCGTCGCCAATAATTGAGGCCGCCCGCAAGCATCCTCATGACTCTTCCAGTACGGCCGCACCTCGTACTTTAGGCGGCCGGGTTGTGCCGCGTCGCCGGCACTCACCGCAGGCAGAGTGCGGCAACAGCGACGTTTTGCTCGCAGACGTCAGCACTTAACGGAATCGATACAGGACATTATCTTATGCAAGGTGACCTATTGCTTTCGCGCACACTTAATGACTACCGTTAAGTTTTATATCCAGGCAAGATTTGTCCTTGTACACATCTCAGACAAATTTGTATCTTGAAAGTAGATGATAAGAATTTAAAAATAGGTCTATGTTCTAATTTTCTTTCATATTTAGCTGCGTAGAGTACAAGATAAAGGCGGGCATAGCGGCCGGTTACGGTAGTCCGGTATTGTTGGGAAGAGACAGGTCCTGCCTTGCCTGGCGCAGTATTGTCGCGGGAGGGGGTAACGCGAATACAAAGCGACTTCAGTGCGAAAGTCAATCCCTCAGCGCCCAATATTATTGTTGATGTTGTTTGTGTTTGCCCGAGGGGTCTACAACTCGCCTCAGCCGTGTACTTTTGAGT